TATTATTTGTGATCACTTTTTTAAGTGTGAATTAATCAGTATTTTAAAATGGCCATAACTCCTTAAATATTGAGTTTTCGGCGTTTTTAGCTATTATTTGTGATCACTTTTTTAAGTGTGAATTAATCAGTATTTTAAAATGGCCATAACTCCTTAAATATTGAATTTTCGGCGCTTTTAGCTATTATTTGTGATCACTTTTTTAAGTGTGAATTAATCAGTATTTTAAAATGGCCATAACTCCTTAAATATTGAGTTTTCAGCGTTTTTAGCTATTATTTGTGATCACTTTTTTAAGTGTGAATTAATCAGTATTTTAAAATGGCCATAACTCCTTAAATATTGAGTTTTCGGTGTTTTAACTATTATTTGTGATCACTTTTTTAAGTGTGAATTAATCAGTATTTTAAAATGGCCATAACTCCTTAAATATTGAGTTTTCGGCGTTTTTAGCTATTATTTGTGATCACTTTTTTAAGTGTGAATTAATCAGTATTTTAAAATGGCCATAACTCCTTAAATATTGAATTTTCGGCGCTTTTAGCTATTATTTGTGATCACTTTTTTAAGTGTGAATTAATCAGTATTTTAAAATGGCCATAACTCCTTAAATATTGAGTTTTCAGCGTTTTTAGCTATTATTTGTGATCACTTTTTTAAGTGTGAATTAATCAGTATTTTAAAATGGCCATAACTCCTTAAATATTGAGTTTTCAGCGTTTTTAGCTATTATTTGTGATCACTTTTTTAAGTGTGAATTAATCAGTATTTTAAAATGGCCATAACTCCTTAAATATTGAGTTTTCGGCGTTTTTAGCTATTATTTGTGATCACTTTTTTAAGTGTGAATTAATCAGTATTTTAAAATGGCCATAACTCCTTAAATATTGAGTTTTCGGCGTTTTTAGCTATTATTTGTGATCACTTTTTTAAGTGTGAATTATTGCAAATTTTAAAATGGCCATAACTCCTTAAATATTGGGTTTTCGGCGTTTTTAGCTATTATTTGTGATCACTTTTTTAAGTGTGAATTATTGCAAATTTTAAAATGGTCATAACTCCTTAAATATTGATTTTTCGGCGTTTTTAGCTATTATTTGTGATCACTTTTTTAAGTGCGAATTATTGCAAATTTTAAAATGGCCATAACTCCTTAAATATTGAGTTTTCGGCGTTTTTAGCTATTATTTGTGATCACTTTTTTAAGTGTGAATTAATCAGTATTTTAAAATGGCCATAACTCCTTAAATATTGAGTTTTCAGCGTTTTTAGCTATTATTTGTGATCACTTTTTTAAGTGTGAATTAATCAGTATTTTAAAATGGCCATAACTCCTTAAATATTGAGTTTTCGGCGTTTTTAGCTATTATTTGTGATCACTTTTTTAAGTGTGAATTAATCAGTATTTTAAAATGGCCATAACTCCTTAAATATTGAATTTTCGGCGCTTTTAGCTATTATTTGTGATAACTTTTTTAAGTGTGAATTAATCAGTATTTTAAAATGGCCGTAACTCCTTAAATATTGAGTTTTCAGCGTTTTTAGCTATTATTTGTGATCACTTTTTTAAGTGTGAATTAATCAGTATTTTAAAATGGCCATAACTCCTTAAATATTGAGTTTTCGGTGTTTTTAGCTATTATTTGTGATCACTTTTTTAAGTGTGAATTAATCAGTATTTTAAAATGGCCATAACTCCTTAAATATTGAGTTTTCGGCGTTTTTAGCTATTATTTGTGATCACTTTTTTAAGTGCGAATTAGTGCATATTTTAAAATGGCCATAACTCCTTAAATATTGAGTTTTCGGCGTTTTTAGCTATTATTTTTGATCACTCTTTTAAGTGTGAATTAATCAGTATTTTAAAATGGCCATAACTCCTTAAATATTGAGTTTTCGGCGTTTTTAGCTATTATTTGTGATCACTTTTTTAAGTGTGAATTAATCAGTATTTTAAAATGGCCATAACTCCTTAAATATTGAGTTTTCGGCGTTTTTAGCTATTATTTGTGATCACTTTTTTAAGTGTGAATTATTGCAAATTTTAAAATGGTCATAACTCCTTAAATATTGAGTTTTCGGCGTTTTTAGCTATTATTTGTGATCACTTTTCTAAGGGTGAATTATTGCAAATTTTAAAATGGCCATAACTCCTTAAATATTGAATTTTCGGCGTTTTTAGCTATTATTTGTGATCACTTTTTTAAGTGTGAATTAATCAGTATTTTAAAATGGCCATAACTCCTTAAATATTGAGTTTTCGGCGTTTTTAGCTATTATTTGTGATCACTTTTTTAAGTGTGAATTATTGCAAATTTTAAAATGGTCATAACTCCTTAAATATTGAGTTTTCGGCGTTTTAAGCTATTATTTGTGATCACTTTTTTAAGTGTGAATTAATCAGTATTTTAAAATGGCCATAACTCCTTAAATATTGAGTTTTCGGCGTTTTTAGCTATTATTTGTGATCACTTTTTTAAGTGTGAATTAATCAGTATTTTAAAATGGCCATAACTCCTTAAATATTGAGTTTTCGGCGTTTTTAGCTATTATTTGTGATCACTTTTTTTAAGTGTGAATTATTGCAAATTTTAAAATGGCCAGTACTCCTTAAATATTGAGCTTTCGGCGTTTTTAGCTATTATTTGTGATCACTTTTTTTAAGTGTGAATTATTGCAAATTTTAAAATGGCCATAACTCCTTAAATATTGAGTTTTCGGGGTTTTTAGCTATTATTTGTGATCACTTTTTTAAGTGTGAATTATTAGATATTTTAAAATGGCCATAACTCCTTAAATATTAAGTTTTCGGCGTTTTTAACTATTATTTGTGATCACTTTTTTAAGTGTGAGTTATTGCAAATTTTAAAATGGCCATAACCCCTTAAATATTGAGTTTTCGGCATTTTTAGCTATTATTTGTGATCACTTTTTTAAGTGTGAATTATTAGATATTTTAAAATGGCCATAACTCCTTAAATATTGAGTTTTGGGCGTTTTTAGCTATTATTTGTGATTACTTTTTTAATTATTGTGATCACTTTTTTAAGTGTGAATTTTAAAATGGCCATATCTCCTTAGATATTGAGTTTTCGGTGTTTTTAGCTATTACTTGTGATCACTTTTTTAAGTGTGAATTATTGCAAATTTTAAAATGGCCATAACTCCTTAAATATTGAGTTTTCGGCGTTTTTAGCTATTATTTGTGATCACTTTTTTAAGTGTGAATTAATCAGTATTTTAAAATGGCCATAACTCCTTAAATATTGAGTTTTCGGCGTTTTTAGCTATTATTTGTGATCACTTTTTTTAAGTGTGAATTATTGCAAATTTTAAAATGGCCAGTACTCCTTAAATATTGAGCTTTCGGCGTTTTTAGCTATTATTTGTGATCACTTTTTTTAAGTGTGAATTATTGCAAATTTTAAAATGGCCATAACTCCTTAAATATTGAGTTTTCGGGGTTTTTAGCTATTATTTGTGATCACTTTTTTAAGTGTGAATTATTAGATATTTTAAAATGGCCATAACTCCTTAAATATTAAGTTTTCGGCGTTTTTAACTATTATTGTGATCACTTTTTTAAGTGTGAGTTATTGCAAATTTTAAAATGGCCATAACCCCTTAAATATTGAGTTTTCGGCATTTTTAGCTATTATTTGTGATCACTTTTTTAAGTGTGAATTATTAGATATTTTAAAATGGCCATAACTCCTTAAATATTGAGTTTTGGGCGTTTTTAGCTATTATTTGTGATTACTTTTTTAATTATTGTGATCACTTTTTTAAGTGTGAATTTTAAAATGGCCATATCTCCTTAGATATTGAGTTTTCGGTGTTTTTAGCTATTACTTGTGATCACTTTTTTAAGTGTGAATTATTGCAAATTTTAAAATGGCCATAACTCCTTAAATATTGACTTTTCGGCGTTTTTAGCTATTATTTGTGATCACTTTTTTAAGTGTGAATTATTGCAAATTTTAAAATGGCCATAACTCCTTAAATATTGAGTTTTCGGCGTTTTTAGCTATTATTTGTGATCACTTTTTTAAGTGTGAATTATTGCAAATTTTAAAATGGCCATAACTCCTTAAATATTGAGTTTTCGGCGTTTTTAGCTATTATTTGTGATCACTTTTTAAGTGTGAATTATTGCAAATTTTAAAATGGCCATAACTCCTTAAATATTGAGTTTTCGGCGTTTTTAGCTATTATTTGTGATCACTTTTTTAAGTGTGAATTATTGCAAATTTTAAAATGGCCATAACTCCTTAAATATTGAGTTTTTGGCGTTTTTAGCTATTATTTGTGATCACTTTTTTAAGTGCGAATTATTGCAAATTTTAAAATGGCCATAACTCCTTAAATATTGAGTTTTCGGCGTTTTTAGCTATTATTTGTGATCACCTTTTAAAGTGTGAATTATTGCAAATTTTAAAATGGCCATAACTCCTTAAATATTGAGTTTTCGGCGGTTTTAGCTATTATTTGTGATCAATTTTTTAAGTGTGAATTATTCCAAATTTTAAAATGGCAATAACTCCTTAAATATTGAGTTTTCGGCGTTTTTAGCTATTATTTGTGATCACTTTTTTAAGTGTGAAACAATGAATATTTTAAAATGACCATAACTCCTTAAATATTGAGTTTAGCTATTATTTGTGATCACCTTTATAAGTGTGAATTATTGGATTTTTTATAATTTATTGAGTTTTTGACGTTTTTACTTATTATTTATAATTATCATTTTTAGACGATAAGGGTTTTACATATTTGCTGTCACTTTTATTATTCATGTGTATTTCCGTTTGGATGTCAAAATTGACATTTGTTCACAACTGAAATATCGTCCATGTATCATTCATTGTGTGCAACTTCTGTTAAAAAATATCGCCTAATAGAACCTTGAACTTTTTTTAAGCATTAATGTTCTTTGATACTCACCCCTTAGTTCATTTGGTGAACACATATATTTTGCACACGGTATACGACACTAGTTCTTACTTTTCCTTAGGTGAACAAACAGCTGTTTCGACTTGTTGCCTCTTCCATTTCTATACAATCGGCGTTTTGCCCTTTTCTTTTATTCGCAACGCTCTGCTCACCATTCCGCTTCCTTGTAATTTGTGTCATACCGGACTTAATAAATCTCCATTGTCAGAATGGGTGTCACAGTGTTGCAACCATATCAAATACCTGAAGGAAAAACTGGAGCCCAGGCCATAGACTTCCTAACTAAGCGACTGCTGGCTTTGGGCGCTGTGCACACGGGACAATTTCTTGTAGATTGTGAAACTTATATTTCAGCACCCCAGCATGGCCCCTCAAAGGCAGTACATGTTCTGCACGACTCCGAATATCCAGTGACAACATTTTCCATATTGGATACCGGCACCGGTAAGCAAATACCATTGGTTGCCGACAACCTCTTCGATTTGTTGATGCTCAAAATGACTTCTGTCTACACTTCAAAGAAACAAACAAAAATTGAATCCAAAGGTGCACGCTTTGAATATGGGGATTTTCTCATCAAACTCGGCTCTGTAACTATGATGGAGAATTTCAAAGGTATCCTCATCGAAATTGAATACCGTCCATGTGTTGTTCTCTTCTATTGCTGGGAAATGATACGTGAAGTGTTGCAGTCATTTTTAGGCGTAACAGTGGCCAAAGAATATCCTGGCTATTTTACATCGCAACCGGTTGTGAATGCCATGGGCCAACAGCAGCTGCATGCCAAACAACATGATATTTACGAACCAATTGATACCATCAATCAATATTTGGAACATTTTACCAATTATCGTAAACAGAATATAATGCCACAGGTCTCATCACAGTCATCCAATATGTCTATGAATACCGGCATGAGGGTGTCGTAAGTTGTGGAGATTTTTTTGTGAAATAGACTTAAGTTAATTAAGAAAGAAAGAAAATTAAATAATAATATTGTACATTTTTTAAAAATACCTCTTTGATGTTGTTTTTAATTCCAAAAAGTTTATTAGGGTAGTACTTCATTTGAAAGTAACACTTCAATAAAATCTAAAGTTAGGCGGGTGAAAAGCTGGAAAGATATCTTGGATATGATTTTGTGGGTCAATCGAAGGAATTGTTACCACTTCAAATTTTGAACATTTGAAGTAAAACGAAGCCAATCAGAGAAGTTGTTACCGGCTCAAAATTTGGACACTTGGAATAAAACAGTAGATTTTAGAAAGCCTTCTGAGAAGACTAGCCGCTTGAACTTTACATCGAAAAGTCTTGACTTATATAAAAATTATAATCACTCACTTAGTGCTTTGCTAAAGTAGTTGTTGATTGGAAAGAAATAAATCCATGTTAACCTTCCAAATAGAGGGGGACTACATATCCCAAATTTACATTAGATTAATGTTTAATATTGAGATACACAATGCTTGAAAAAGTATTAAAATTATTCTAAATATAGACCATTTGTTGGTGAGGTACCAGAAGGAGCGAACCAATATCTCGGGACTCGATCTAAGTTTAGTAAACAGACAAAACCAACATACATGGTAGTGCTGACTTCGTTCAGGCAAACGAACGCTTATAAAGTGGAGAGAGATGAAAAGTTTCGGCTGTAAGATTTAGAAGAAATGCCAAAAGAATTTTAGTTCGATTCAATTCTTTGGTTCCTCTTCACATGGGTAAAAAACGATATTGTCATAGGAGTTGTTTAAAAAAACTTCTGGGGAGAAAATCCCTAGACAGGAACCAAGGGAAATTACAAGGATTCTAAAACAGGCCTAAAGTCTAAAACCGTTAATTCGATAAGGCACGTTTTGACCGTGACCAAATGATATATAACCTCTGTAGCCATATGACTGAGGTTATAATTAAGAAATTAATGGATGACTTTTAGGCTTCAACATATAGCCCAAGGAAGTGATCCGATTCTTCTGGGCTCTACGGCTCCCACTTAAATTGTGACTCAGGGGCGGAGAATAAGTATAGATATATAGGATTTGCTTAGAATCGCTTTTATTTGAATGTGTCAATTATTCATGTTTACAAAATGTTGGTCATCTTTGGGCCAATGAAGTCTATTTATCTTTGGAAATTTTGCAGCTGGCGTTGTGCGCCTTTCAAAACGCTGACTAGATAGACTCCAAATGATAATAAAATTTCAATTCAGAATGCTGTTGGAAATCGATTATTGGATCCTTCGAACTAAACATAGACATTACTTTTTATACTCTCAGCCATATGGCTAGAGAGGGTATATATCATTTGATACTATTGCCTCATTGAAATAACGGTTTTACACCCAAAGTCTCTTTGGACTCTTAGTGATATCCGTCCGTCCGTCAGTCTAGATGGTGCGCAAGATAACTCTCAACCGGAGCATCCGATTTGATCCAAACTTGGTCCATCGTAATATTATTGTCAAACTTAGATCGAGTTCGGAGATGGGCAATATCGGTCCACTCCTTCTGGTACCTCCCCCATAAAATATCAATATTTTCAAAGAAAATAATTTACTGCACAGAAAGAGAAAGTATAATCCGATTTTGTTCCAACTTTGAAAATCCTAATATTTGTATCAGTGCTAGGACGGCCCACTACTCACTCTCTACACTACTCTCAAGTACCTCCCCCACAAACGGTCAAAATTTTGAATAATTATAACTCTTATAAAATGTGATGCAAGTGTCCGACTGTCTTCAAATTACACACTTCACAATATTTTTATTAATCAAAAGATGGGATAAATCGGTCAACTCCTTTTAGTACCTCCCCCACAAATTGTCAAACTTTTGAGTATCCATTGTCAAATTTTTGAGTATTCCATCAACACAAGATCTGATATAGAGATGGCAGAGATCGGGGTATTTTCTGGTACCTCCCCCCAAAAAAGGTAAAAGTTTTTTATAACAAAAATTGTCATAATATCCGAAATAAGCATTCGATTCTCTTCATATTTCACACATCCAATTATTTCTACTAACACAAGATCTGCTGGGAAGATGATATATATGAGATATATAAGGAGCGGACCCATTCTGGTACCTCCACCACAAAGGTCAACATTTTCAGTAACCATGAAGCTCATAGAACGGAAATTAACATCCGATTCCATTCAGACTTGGTACATGTCAATAATTCCATCAATACAAGATATCTTATAAAGATTGTAGGGATCGGACCATTTCCTCTGGTACCTCCCCCACATGGGGTTCAAGTTTATTGAAAAATCTTGAAAAGCGAAATAAACATCCAACTCTCTTCATATTTCACATATCGAAATATTTTTGCTAACGCAAGATTTGTTGTGAAGATGATGTATATCTGCCAACCCTTCTGGTTCCTAATCCACAAAGATTCACAATTTTCAATAATTTGTTTTGTCATAACTTGTATGCGATTCATTACAACCTGTATTATCTTAATATTTCTCTTAAGCAGAAACCTGAGATTAATATATAAATTATCGGAATTTATGATTTCGTATAAAATGTTAGATATTATGGTTGTTTTTGCAAAAGCAAAGTTTGTATATTAGTGGAGAACAATGGTAATGTTTACCAAATTTTGCACATACCAATATTTTTATCTATATTAAATGAAGCATGAAAATGGAATACTTCAGTCGACTATATCTGGAACCTCACGCATATTTCAACATTTTCCAAATTTTACACATATCTCATATAAAGTATAGGAAGTAGCCGATATAGTTCAAAGCTAGCTCGTTGTAGTATTTTTATCAGTCTTAGGTCAGACACGAATTGTGCAATATTGTCCAACGGCTTCAGAACCTCCCTCCTTAAAGGTTAGCAATTTGCATAATCATAACATAAGGCTGGAGGTATGCATCTGTCGGCAAAACCGACTGATACTCTTTAACTTGTTTATTTTCCCTTTATCTAAGAAATAAGACAGTGCTGATTTTAATGTATCGAAAACAAAATAATAAAAATCTTTATTTTACACATTTGCTTGTTTGTTGTTTTTTTTTTTTTCTTTCTCTTTAACTTAACAAAAATCAAAAAGAAAACTAAATTTATTTATGCATGTATAATAATGTATATATAAAGTTGTAACGGTTATAGAAAAAATAATATTTTTGTCTATATAACAAGTTGTTGGTTTTCTTTTTTTATTTTACAAATTCACAGTTTATATCATAAAAATATCTTATTAACTAAGCCTTAAGAAGAAATTCAATGTTTCGATAAGATTTTCTGTTTTTGAGCAACTATCATCGAAAGTATTTTTTTATATATTTTGTTACAACTGTTTGTGTTACCTACCACCGGGCTGGTTATGGGGTCATGGAGGTTGTTGGTTTAGCCAAAAATGTCAGATGTTACAAAGTGTTCGATAATAACTGTTGCATGATATCATATTATTATTGATTTTGTAAATAGTTTCTCTTTTTTGTATTTTTACATTTCATTAGTATATATAGGCATGGGTAGTAGAGTGTTTTTCTTACTAACATTTGCATAAGATTACTTGGAATCCATGGAAGTATTGATATCATAGTATACTTTCTTCTGTTTTTAAATATATTGGTAAGTATATGCATGCAATTGGTAAATGGTTTGTTTGTTTCATTTTCTTCATTTATTCGGAAATCAGTAGCTGTTGTTCTATTTGTCTTCCTTCTACGTCTCCATCAACATCATCAGCATTGCCTTGGAATATTGTTGCTGTAACGGTTTTGTCTACCAACAGCTGCACCTTTGATTTTTTACACTTCCGATCAGGAATCGCAGATGATCCTCCATGTTGTTTTGTATATTGCTAGTGACAATGTTCGGTGACATCGACAATAACCGATTTCTTCCAACAGAAAAGGAAATAGCCAACGGCTGCTCCCACCACAATGGCCAGACACAACCACACATTGTAGGTCATGAATATTAACATCAACAGAAATGATACGGTGACTTGTATCATATGTAGACCAGTTTGGATGAAATGATTTGCAGAGAACATTGTTGGACTGTAAGAGAATTATAGAAAAAGACAAAATTCGTTATTTTATATCCTTGATGATAAAGGGATAGTACAGAAGAACAAGAAATGTTAATATACAATTATTAATTTTTAAAAAATTTGCTACTTTATAACTAAATTTGTATAACAGTAATAAAAACAAACACATACGGACAAACATACAAGCTTACAACACAATGCATTTTGATAATTCGCAAAGCACTAGGCAATCTATGAAAATTCCACGAAACAAGTAAAATAATATTAGTCGGTTTTGTCGACAAATGTATACCCCCAGGCTTGAGTTATAAGTATTCAAATTGTTGATCCCTAATGGGGAATTTTCCGAAGCAATTTATTTCTGACCTAAAACTGATAAAAATATTACAACGTGCCAGATTTGGACTATATCGACTACTTTCAATACTTTAATATGCGTTAGGTAACATATATAGCGGACCGAAATATACCATTTTCATACTTCATCTAATACAGATTCAAATAGTGATTTGGGCAAAATTTGAGGAAATTTAACATTTATATCCAATTTTATGCGAAATTATAAAACTCGATAAATTACATTTTCATATCAGATTTCTGGTTAAGAGACATATTTAGACATAGAAAGTTGTGAAGAATCGTCGAATCTTTTCACAAGTTATGACAGATGTAAGTATTGGAAATTCTGACCGTTTGTGGGTTCTGTACCAGAAGGGTTTCACAACAGATCTTGTTAGAAAAAATATCTAGACGTGTTAAATGTGAAGAGAGTTGCATGCTTATTTAGCTTTCTTTGAGCAAATTGTTTTTCAAAAATCTTGAACCCCATATGAGGAAGGTAGCAGAAGAAATGGTCCGATCTCTACCATCTTTATAACAGATCTTGTGTTAATGGAAATATTGAGATGTACCAAGTCTAAATGGAATTGGATGGTAATTTCCATTTTTATAAGCATTGTGGGTACTCAAAATTTTGACCCTTTGTGGGGGAGATACCAGAAGCAGTAGTCTGATACATCTCATCTTCACACAAAATCTTGTGTTAGTAGAAATAATGAGATGTGTGAAGTATGAAGACAAGCGGATGCTTATTTCGGTTTATATAATCGTTTTGGCTATTCAAAGCTTTGACCCTTTTTGGGTGAGGTACCAAAAGGAATGGCCGATTTTTGCATCTTTATAATAGATCTTTTGTTGATTGAGATGTTACAAGTCTGAATGGAATCGGATGTTAATTTCGTTTTTTATGAGCGTCATAGAGCTTCATAAATGTTGGCCCTTTGTGGGGGAGGTACCAGAAGGAATAGAACGATATATCCCATCTTCACAGCAGATCTTGGGTTGATAAAAATATTGTGGTATCTGTAATTTGAAGAGAACCGAATGCTTATTTTGGATTTTACAATCGTTCTAGTTTTTCAAGCTTTGACCCTTTGTGGGTGAGGTACCAGAAAGAATGGTCCGATCTCTACCATCTTTATAACAGATCTTGTTTTGATAGAAATATTGAGATTTGCGTGATGGTGTGGGCCGCCATAGCAACCGATCGTTGCTCTTCGCTCGTATTAGTCGACCGTGGCATCAGAATAAATGCAGAATATTATCTCGAAAATATTCTGGAGGGTGTATTGAAGCCTTGGACACGCAAACATTTTGGCCGCAGACCTTGGACACGCGCCACCAAAGAATAGTTACAAAATGAGGTTCCTCGCTTCATTTCCAGCGCACAATGGGCACCAAAATCACCAAGATACCAATTCGTTGGACTATTGTGTCTGGAGTATTTTGGAAAGCAAGGTTGGTACTATAAAATACCAAAGTGTCGATCACCTCAAGCAAGCGCTACGCCGGGAATGGCCCTAATTGAAGGCCATAATTCGCTCCAAAGGTGACCAATTCGAACAAATCTAAACTTTCTCTTGTCGATTTGCTTCGATTCCGATCCCGATCTCAATAATATTTCAAACATCTATTTCTATGGCCAAGTTTTTTTTTTCAAACCTAGTGGAATGGCTGGATACCAAATTAAGGTTGATATCATAATTTGACATTATAGTGAAAAATGTTTTGGAATTTCTAAGCATTCATGAAACTGATTTCGTCGGATATGGAGTTAAAGATTTCTTTATCTGACGTTTTTGTTTTAATATATCCTTATGCCAGTTATTAAATTTTCAAAAACAAATATTAAGTATTTGGGTTCTTTACAATTTATATATAACAAATTACACTATAACTATAAAATGTTAAGCAAATATATTTAAATAAATTTTTTTCTTAATAAACAAGTGCAAAAAATTAGGTTTTAGAATATAAATTTAAAGTAATCTAAATGTTAAATTTTATAATTTGAATTATTAAACATAACAAACTTTTAAAACCACAACCCCAACAAACAAAATTTCGCAAACAAACTAAATATATCAACAAAAATATTTAAAATAATAATAAATACAAACACATTTCTCTACAAAAATGTACACACATGCCTACAAGTTTATAAACAATACATATATACATACAAACATATATATACAAAAATATATCATTTTACTTACGGTTGTTTGTGTATAACTTCTCCGACATATCTATTTTTGTTTTGACGAACGTACAGATGATGAGATTTTACAATATGTGCATTTATGAGAAAAAGAAAGCGATGATGAAATGTATTGGGAAATTGTATATTTTTTCCAGTTGAATGATTAAAATAGAGACACAAAAAGACAGAAACAAACAAAATGCAAAAGTTATAAATAGCAAATGTTTTTCTAAATAATTTTTTTCAATTATACAAAAAATCAAGATAAATTTGATCGGTTTTAACCGACCCCATGTGATATTAACCCACACCACAGCAATAGGAGAAATTTTGAAATTAATTTACAATTAATCATGCATAAAGAAACTAAATACCAATTTGATCACAGTTGTATTGTTGTGTGTTTGGTACAGGTGTACAATTGAGTTAAAATGTTGTTTAAATTTACAATTTTTTTTTTTTTTTGAAGTGTGAGTGTTTCATGTGTGCTTTTTATTTATTTAATTTTCTTTATTTATTTATTAATTTTTTTTTTTTTTTTTGAAAATAAGAATTAATTTTGGAACATATTTTCATTAATTATTATTAATTCATATTTATCACATTATGGAACTAAGATATCGGAAACAATTTCTAGCTTAGTAAAAATTAGTAAGGAAAAGTCAAAAGTCGGGCGGAGCCGACTATATGGTACCCTACACCACTATGCATATTTTGTAGAGCGCCCGTAACAAAAGAATTGAAGTAGATCATACCACCCATCAACATTTAGCTTTAGAGCAGTTAATATTGAGAGGCATTTCCAATTCTGAATTAAATTCACAAAATTTGACGGATATATTTTCTTATGTACCAAATTACATTGCTATGGAGTGCATGCTATCACTTCGAAAAGGATTATATTGAAAAATATATATCGGAGGCGAGTTCCACCAAATGGAAACGTACGTCCCGAATTTCATTCCATTTGGGCTGATAATATAAGCCATTATTTGCACAATAAATCTGAAATCGGACTAAGGATATATATGGGAGCAATATGAAAATCTTAGCCGATCTCGATGAAATTTGGCAAAGGTATTTCCGAGCTCTACAAGATATCTGGTACCAAATATCATTGTTGTCGAATGCATATTACGAATGTGAGGGACTTAAACACCAAATCGGATGAAACATATATATGGGAGCTATAGCTATATCTGAACCGATTTTTAACAAATTTGATGTACTTGCTTCTAGGCAGGATTCGGTTGGATGTGCCACAATTCACTCCATTTGGGCTGATATTAGCCAATAAACGTAAAATCGGTCGAAGATATATATATATAGAAGATATATCCAAATCTTAACCGATCTTGATACAATTTGTCAGAGGTATTTCTGGGCTGTATCAGATATTCTGATTCCAAACATCATTCTTGTGGTGTCATATTACGAATGTGAGGGACTTAAACACCAAATCGGATGAAACATTTATATGGGAGCTATAGCTATATCTGAACCGATTTTCTACGAATTCGATGTACTTGCTTCTAGACTGAATTCGGTTGGATGTGCCAAAAATTAGGTTATTTGGACTTATATTAGCCATTTGGTGCACAATTAACCGGAAATCGGTTGAAGATATATGTGGAAGCTATATCTAAATCTGATCCAATTATCACCATTTTCCATGATATTCGTCCTTGGGCCAAATTATTTGGAAAATTTCATCTCAATCGGATAATAAATGCAACCAGCACTTTGTTCACAAGAATACATGAAAAGACGGACAAACGGCCAGACGGACTGACATGCGTATATCGACACAGAAAGTGATTCTATAAAGATCTTCAAAAGTAACTATGGGTCAATCTCGCTTCCTTGTCCGTGTTACAAACAAATGCACAAACACATAACACCCCTACCACTATGTGGTGTAAGTGTCAGTGCCGATACATGTACTGGCATATGCCAGTTTATTAAAGGACCAATATTTTGAATTTCGCATCTGAATTAACTCTGATATAAGTATTACGACGTGTCAGCTTTGGACTATGCAGACCACAAAGTTTTTGGGGGAGGTGTCAGAAGGAGTTGTCCATTATCCCCCAACTTCACATTTCATATCTCATGTTTGTAGAAATGTTAGGATGTGTGAAGTTTAAAACGAACCGGATGCTTATGTCGTACTATATATGAGCGTTTTAGTTATTCAAAAGTTCGACCCCTTTGTGGGTAGGCACTGGAAGGACTGAATTTGTGTTCCTATAAATAACTTCAACTATAAACAACTTCACATTTCATATCTCATGTTTGTAGAAATGTTAGGATGTGTGAAGTTTAAAACGAACCGGATGCTTATGTCGTACTATATATGAGCGTTTTAGTTATTCAAAAGTTCGACCCCTTTGTGGGTAGGCACTGGAAGGACTGAATTTGTGTTCCTATAAATATTATGATTTTCAGAGTTTAAACAAAATCGACTTATACCTTTCCTTGCTATAACGTAAATTATTTTTTTCTAACATCTTGATCTTTTATGGGGGAGGTACCGCTACAGAAGGAACAAACATTTCATGAATTAGAATTTCAATGATTAGGTGATTTTGAAAATATTCAGCTACGCAATGCTATCGAAACTGTTTAGAATTACAGCAATATTCTGCCAATTTTGCAAAGTTCCGGGACGTTGCGATGTCTTTGGCAATGAAGCGGCAGACGAAGTTGATATGATCATCAACTACTCCCCTTTCAATACTCGAACTTCTTAATTTTCTTACACTAACACTCACAAACAGGGTAAATATAACATATCAAAAGACCAAACTTCTGTATCCTTTAATTTTCTCAGATATCGCCTACAAGGGTTCAACATTTCCAACAGTTACAAAACTTATACAAAACACTGATACTAACCCTCTAAGTCTTCATCATGCTTCTATCTTAGCCTACTTTTGGATTAGACCACCTAGAAAAAACCTATTTTTTCCAATATATTAACCATTTGGCAATCCTCGACTCATACAATAAACCCGAGATCTTCACGTAAAGGGCAAGCTATTGAAAATTCTTTGTACTCTTAGAGGCCCCTAATCTTAAAACAGTTTTTTTTCAGAGTGATAAATTTTTCCTTTTAAATGCAGACGGACTTTCGAAAAACCATTTCAGTATCAGTACAAAGTACATGCACGCATTTACTGTAGTGTGGGTTAAAATCGCAAGATAATTTCAAATCAATTGTGCAAATGAAAATGCAAAATAAAACTTACTGCACTGGCGTCGGATTACTCGGTGCCGGTGGCATTTGACCCGATTCAGGATTGGCTTGTGGACCAGTAACCGGGCGATATTCCAATAGATTATATGTTTTCCAGAACAAAAATTCTCGATAGTATTTTAGCCCTTCATATAAGACGGCAATAATGAAAATACCAATCATGGAGCCAACCAGACCGCCAATACTATCTATGCGCCACCAATCGAAAAGTATTGTTTCGTTATAACCAAAATGGAACTTAAATGGAAAAATAAGTATTAAAATATGTAACAAGTTTTTTTTTATCATAAACTTACCGACATAGACATCATATGATTCATCATGTGACCCATGTGATTCATATGTTGACTATGATCCATATGCTGGCTATGATCCATTGCAACGTCTGGTGTCACTGTTGCTGTTGCTGCTGCACCATGATTGTGATGCATATGATCATGTGGGGCAGGCGTGGTTGTTGATAAGACAGCATTAGTTACTGCGGCATGCATTGCGTGAACATGATGATCGTGGGACCCTGCACGGAGGGGAAATTGTGGAAAATTAGTAGGATATTGAAGTTAACTTTCATATTATATCTAACATACCATGGTCCATTGTGTGCTCTGAGTGATCCATATTATTATTTATTTACGTTTGAGAAAAAAAAAAAAAAATACTATTTCCAACTTTACAAATCCCTGCCTGAAAAGAAATAAAAATAAATATTAATAAATTAAAACAAGTATTTTTATTATGTAAGTTTTGCAATGGACAATTAACAGTGTATTCGGAGGACTCAATGTCATACATGGGAATCTATTTTTTTTCTAAATGTCACTCGAAATTAGTGGTTTTTTACTGGCCACTTAAAGTTTATTAAATAAGTACTTATTTAATGGCTATGACCAGAAAATACTTGCTTTGGTGGGTAATATAATCCGTAATTATTATTTTTGATGAAATCTATTTTCTTGCGTTTAAGGTGAGACAAAATCGAAAGATTTTTTCTAGCATAAGCTTGGTTTTTCTGCCTTCTTGTAAAATAATACTTTTGCTCTGTTCCAGAACTACAAGAATGTAAACATTTTTACTACGATAGCTGATGTTTCTGATAAAAATTTTACAATGTGCCAGGTTTGGACTGTAACGACTACTACCTATACTTTATATGTGATATGTCCACATTTTTGGAAATTGTGGAAATATCCGCGAGGTAACAGATATAGCGGACCGAAGTGTTCCATTTTCATAATTCATCTAATACAGATAAAAATATGGTTATGTGTAAAATTTGAGGGAAATCGAAAATTTAAATCTAATTTTATGCGAACCCGATCTGTACCATCTTTATAACAGATTTGTGTTTATGGGGATATTTAGATGTACCAAGTCTGAATGGAATCGAATGTTTATTTAGCGTTTGATGAGCTTCATGGATACTGAAAATTTTGACCCTTTGTGGGGGAGATAGCAGAAGAGGTGGACCGATTTATCACAATGGCACACCATATTGTGATGTGTGTAATTTGATGATGGATGCTTATTTCGGATTTTATGATCGTCTTAGTTATTCAAAATGTTGACCCTATGTTGGGGAGGTACCAGAAGGAATGATCAGATCTCTACCATCTTTATAACAGATCTTGTTTTTATGAAAATATTGAGATGTACCAAGTCTGAATGGAATCGGATGTTTATTTAGCGTTTTATGAGTTTCATGGATACTCAAAATTTTGACCCTTTGTGGGGGAGGTACCAGAAGGCGTGGACCGATGTATCCCAATTTCACACCAGACCTCGGTTTTATAAAAATATTGTGATGTGTGTAATTTGAAGAGAACTGGATGCTTATTTCGAATTTTATGATCGTCTAAGTTATTCAAAACTTTGACCCTTTGTGGAGAGGTACAAAAGGAATGGTCCGAACTCTACTATCTTCATAACAGATCTTGTGTTGATGAAAATACTGAGATGTACCAGGTCTGAATGGAATCGGATGTTAATTTCGAGTTTTATGAACTTCATGGATTCTCAAAATGTTTACCCCGGCCGGAAGGACCGACCGACGCGCATCGCTAGATGGACTCCAAATATCCTGAAACGGATTTGGTCCAAAGAGATCTATGGTCTAAAACCGTTATTTCGATGAAGCACTTTATGGCCGTATCAAATGATATAAATATAAATACAAAGAGCATATATATAAAGAGCATCCCCTTATATAGTTTCCCTTTTAGAAATGTAGCTTCTACGCCTTATTTAGTGCATTTATCTCAAAAGTTAATATTAGTTATAATGTTTTGCATTTAACTGTTTCTCGCATACATAATTCTTAATCACCGACATAATTTTAAGACTTCCTTCTTTCCCATTGTTTACTTCAATACCTCACACACACACTCAACTACTGGCACACACAAATAAAAGCCAAAGGAATTTCAATAACATTCCATGAATTCCATCACAATTGTTTTACTGGTGACAAAAAGTCTTGGGGAATATTTAATCACTTTTTGAGATGATGTGGGAGGTGGAATGAGTTAGCAAAATCGCATCTTTACAAGTTTTTAATGAGAGGAACTAAGGGAAGAAAAATAAGAAATTTTGCAAAAAACAACCTTGCTTCTTAGACAGACAGGCCATTTATTTAAATAAACATTGATTTATAATTTTTATGGAGAATTTGTGAGAATTAAATATTACCAACTATGATTATAGTGATAATTTAAAGTCCAAAGGAACTAATATATGAGAGAAATATCCCCCTCTGAATCGATTTCCACTAAATTTGCCGAGGCATTTGTGCCTTTTCAATCCGGATTGTATTATCTGTTTGGTTAATTGAAATCGCAAGCTATATGCAAATATGAACCGATTTCGGTAAAATTTGGCAAAGGTGTTTCCGAGCTGCATTTAATATAGAGGGTGAGATAAAAACTGCAACAAAGTCAAACGCCATAATTTTTACATTTTTTTAATTGTGTTGAATGAAAGCAAAAAATGTCGGAAATAGCATCAAATTTTAGAATTAGTTTAAATTTGTTCGAATTGGTCACCTTTGGCACGAATGTTGCTCTGCGGTGTTTTGGCCCATTCCTGGCGAAGCGCTTGCTGGAGGTGATGGTATTTTTAGTGCCAACCTTGTCCAAAATACTCCAGACACAATAGTCCAACGGATTGGTATCCGGAGATTTTGGTACACTGGAAATGAAGCGAGAAACCTCATTTTGTAACCATTCTTGGGTGGTGCCATGGCCGGCGCTTGAATTCTGGTGGCCAACCCAAGGTGCACATTTTCAGCTGACCTCTTTGGCAAGTAAACCCGATTATTTTGCTTGACAACGAATTTTTTCTCATCGGAGAATTCCAAATTCGGCAGTTCACCACTTTCGGTAAAGCGAAGCAACTCTTTAGCTCTTTTGAGTCTATATTCTTTCTGTGGCGGTGTAAGTTCTTGCACTTTTTTGAATTTCAAACGAGCCAGCTTTCGGCTACTGCGACGTGGGTTTCGATCATGTCGCTTCTTTACTTTTCGAACCATTTCTGCTGATGTTGCTGTTTTCTTTCGTCGGGCTACGCTACCAGTATCACGGTAACGAGCGATGGTACGAGACGCGAATGATTTATTCACATTTAAATGCTGGAGTGCTCTAACGACAGCCACTTGTGGTTTTCCAGCCAAATATAAAGAAATCACACTATCACGCTTGAATTCCATCACGAATAACTTTTTTTTTTGGAAAATTCTCAACAAAATGCTTTTGTACGCTTGTAAACAATAAACTATAATAATTTTAACAGCTGTCGGACGAGTCAATATGAAATGACAGCGGTCTGAAGTCGGTTGCTGTTTTTTCATCTCACCCTGTATATGGGTCCTATATATGAGCTATATATGAACCGATTTTTACCAAATTCGACAAACCTGTTTCTAGACTCATTTTGGTCGTAAGTGCCGAATTCCATCCCCTTTGGGCTAAAATTACACGTTTAGTGCACAATAAAAAGCAACTCGAACGAAGATATATATGGAAGCTATATCCAAATCTGAACCGATTTTGATAGAATTTAGCAAAGCTATTTTTGAGTTGTATTTGGTATTTTTCCCCAGATACCGTTGTTGCAGAGTTCATATTACGGCTGCAAACGACACAAATAACAAATCGGATGAACAAAAGATATAGGAGATATTGGTAAACTTTTCCATGCTATTTGGCCTGATATTATACGTTTGATGCACAATAAAAGGCAACTCGAACGAAGATTTATATGGCAGCTATATCTAATTTTTGAACGATTGTCTCCAATTTCAATAGGATTCGTCCTTGGACCAAACAAATGATTTGTGCAAAAATCAATTTCCGGATTGGACAAGAAATACGACTTGTACTTTGTTTACGAAAATACATGGACAGACCGGCGGACGGACGGACATTCATAAATCGACTCAGAATGTGATTCTATGAAGATCATTAAAAGAAACTATGGGTCTATCTCGTCTCCTTTTGACTGTTACAAACAAATGCACAAAGACATAATACCCTGACCACTTTGTGGTGTAGGGTATAAATATTTATGTGGCACTTGGTTAAAAGATTTCCCACGATACACTGTCTAGGTACAGTGATAGACGACCTTGAAAAAAAGAAGTGATATCTAAATTTCTTATTTAAATATCATATTCATATTCGGGTAATAATTAAGATAAGTGAAAAAAACCACAACATGGTTTTGTTCAAATGACAATCAATCACCATTCGCATGCCACAATGACTCGACGAAAAACCGTAGAACAGATGTACTTGATCGGCTTGATTGGTCGTTAAGTGTAAAAGAAAACACTATCACTCTTTTTTTAACCCCAAAATAATATTCTTTATTAGGAATTAAAGAACTTGAAAAGAGAATGGAATGTATCTATTATTTTTTATCACCACTGTTGTTGGTTTGTTGTTGTTGTATCTTTGTTTGATAAGACGAATTTTGTTTAATATAAACATTAAGAAAGTAATTTGTATGTACGTATGTATATTTGACATTAAGAAGCTTAAGTTTGAACCACAACAAAAAACAAAAACGATAAAACCAAATGAAATGAAAGCAGCAAAGAAATGAGTGACCCCTTCTCTTCCACCCCGAAATAAATACAAAACAAAGAGTTCAAAATAGATAACGGAAAGTCTGTTATAAGTTGATCTTCAACATTTGAACCTAAAGAAATGACCGACTCTATGGCATGGGAGTGGCCATGGTGACCATATTTAACAAAACAAAAGTACCACGAACATGCAGCGTAGGTTAAAAAATGTGAATGGATCAAGTTCAATTAAAATTTGTTGTTTATTGGAAAAGTGTTATGTGAACAGTCGAAAAAAAGTTAATTAACTCCACAAAGATGTCGGATTGTATTGCAAAGCTAAGCATGACACGCCAATCCATCAAGAAATGCGTAAAAGGCATTTTTTTATGAATAGATCTCAAAGATATTATTTTTTTGTCCGCTGCTCGTGTTTCTAATTGTTGTGAAGACTGTAAATTTGAAAGTATTTTTTGGATTGTAAACAAATGTTCGGCCGCGTGCTCCGTTTTCATTTATGCAGACCTTCTTTTTATTTAAACGGTTTTAAGGATTTACTCCCGAACTTAAGGGTACATAAGCAGCTTGGCATCACGGCTAGGCATATTAATGTCAAATTACAAGG